AATTAAAGAGAATTATTTTTTTTTCCTGTGTGCTAAGGTAATATATATTATAATGTTTTTTAGTATTAAATCTATTAATATTAAATACATGTTAAATCTCTTGGCAGAAGTGAATTCTTTTGTTGGTGTATTAACAGAGCAAATACAAGCAGGGTTATACAGTAAGGATAGAAAAAGAATCCAGGGTGGAAACTGTGTTGTCTTTAATTTGTGGTTTTAATGTGTGTTCACGTACACAACACTTACCCAACATTTCTCTTTGATACTGCGGTATTTTTCCTAGAGAAATTAATTCAGCAATTTAGCACCAAAAACATCCATGCTGTATCTCTATAACAGCCTTGCTCATGTCATGTAACTTACTGCATCTGTGTTGAACGCTTGCTCCACAGATGTATGAAATTTTCCCACGGGCTGTGGAGTACCTCCTAGGACCTGCACAGAAAGCATCACTGTCCTGTGATTTTGTTCGTTCTTTCATAAGGCAGGAAATCAAAAGCCACAGGGAAGGCAAAATAGATGAACCAGAAGATTTCATTGACTTTTACCTGGATCAGATACAGAAAGTGAGTAATTTATGCTGTATGTGACACAGATCCTATCAGAACGGGTTCCCTGCACCTCTCCTACAGTTGTCTATACATAGCATCATTATTACAGAGCTCTACGATGCAGTTTAAAAACTCTGCTGTCAAATTGAAATATGAACTTTGAATAGTTAGTTTAACAACTTGTTTTAGAAGTGTAAATTAATTACATTGGTTTGTTGTTATACTGTGGAATCCTCAGTGCGGGCAGGGCAGTGGGCGGTAGGGAGGACTTTGAAAAGGTGCAGATGTTTGGAGGGCTGTCTAATTCTGATTCTTTGTGTCTTACTAATATTTGCATTTATTGTCTTTGTGCTTTGTACTGAGATTTTGTGTGCTTAGTAGTAGTGCATGATAATCATAAAAATCTTAAAATTATGGCAGTCTCTGCGCTAAAAAAAGCATAAATCTTTTAAAATGGTAACATATTATATGCAGTAGATAGCTGAAATCAGCAAGGGTGCAGGGTGGGATAAAACTACTTTGTTATGGTTTTTTTTTCTGATGTGGAAGTTAGCAGCAAGGCAGCAAGTCACTCTAGAAGGCAGCATAACAGGACCTCAACAGCACCTGTAATTTAACAGTATCAATGTGCTTATTTGAGAAAAATCTTTGCATAAATCTTTGATTTACTCAAGTATCTATATTTTCTCTGCCCTCTAGAAATATTGTTTGTTTAGGTGTAGTGATGGCTGTCTGTCTCAGTGCTGTTACACAGGTATACCCTATTTTACCTTTCTCATTGACACCCGTAGACTAAAAATATCCCCAATTCTACATTTGATGAAGACAACATGGTGCAGTCTGTTTTTGACCTTTTCCTGGGTGGCTCAGAGACCACTGCCACCACTCTGCGCTGGGCTCTGCTCTATATGGTGGCTTATCCTGATGTCCAAGGTGAGTTGTAGACACGAACACGGGTGTGTTTCAAGTAGAACAACTGTCTATTACACTTTTTTATTTTGTTAAGATCAATTTGTTTTGAAGATCAAGCTTTCTTTTTAAGATCACATTTTTGAGCTTTTCTTTTAAGAAGCCAGTGAATTAGAAAAATTTCGGAGAGACATTTTAAAATAATTTCAGGGATATTCAGCTTCTGATACTGTATTATGTCTTGTTGATTTTTGTCAGACTGTTTCAGTACTGTAAGCATATAATGGAAGATACAGTCCGGCTGAAAACACTCGAGGTGAAGTATGAGCTTGGGTTAGGGAAAAGTGACACTTCTGGTATCCAGAACGTGTAATAAGAATATATTATTTGCACTCGTTAATGGAGACATCAGTTGTATTTCTGTATAATAAGTATATTTATTGTAACATATGGGAATGTTAAACAGAGAAGGAAGATGCTAATGGGAAGACAAAAAGATGACTGGAAAATTTTAGATGGGGGCATAGTTGCACACTAGTTTCAAAATTTTTGAATGATTTAACACAGGGCTGTCAGGTGATGAACTGCTAAGCCAAGTGCATGTTTTCGACTCTCAGGGTTTCTAGCTCTAAACCTTCTTTTCATGCTTTTGGAGCTAGAATGCACACACATACCTTTTCAAAATCTAATAAAATAAAAAGCAAACAAAACTTCTTAGATTACTAGGCTAATTTTTAAGCATGAAATTTGACCCTGAACCCTCTGAGACTGTATAAGCTATTTTACTGAACCCTAGATAACAGCCAAAAGAGATTAACAGTTAGTAATGGTTTGGTAATATTATCCTGTTCCAGTTTTCAACCTTACATATGTGTTTCAGCTTGATATGAAGGTTCCCTTGCAACATGCTCATTAGTGTGCTTTGAGTCTGTATTTAGCTAGAGTAAAAATAATAGCTTGAGTAATTGAATTTGATCTCTTAAGAAGAAGTTCTTGTTTTATTTACAGTTCACTCTCCTTCCTTTAAATATAAAGCTCAATAAATCTGTTGGGCTTGTAGAAAGATGAACTAAACATAGAACCTACAAACTAGGAAACGCCAGAGTGTATAAGTAGATAGTTGTATAAATGTAATTACAATTTAAGACATCATAAGTATAAATTACTTACATATTGTATTTTTTATCACTACAATAATCCAAAAAGAAAATGAAAACTCTGTTTCATGCAAAACAGTGTTCTTGTATCTATAATGGACTTTTTTTTTTTTTTGGTAGAAAAAGTCCAGAAAGAGCTAGATGCCGTTCTGAGTCCTTCCCATCTAATCAAAAAAAAGAAACTGCCTTATACAAATGCTGTGATTCATGAGATCATGCGCTTTGGTAGCATTATTTTAATCACAATTCCCAGAGAAGCAGTGAAGGATACAACTGTTTTAGGGTATCAGCTTCCAAAGGTACAGATATCCTTTCTATTCCAATGTGATCTTTGGCCATGAATGAAGTTCCTTGCAGTCACGTTTACCATTAACCCCTTTTTCCCTCCAGTTCAGGACAGATGGGTGCTGGCTACAGCCCTGGCAGACAGCGCGATGTCCCTCCCACGCTCTCTGGCCTGTGCCTTTGTCTCATAGACAGTGATTAAAAATGCTTGCCAAAAGCGCAGTTTCACACCAATTAAACTAGTATTCTGCGAGAGTGCTGCAGAGTCTTACTTTCCAAGAGCCTGTGATTTTGAAATACTTTATAAGTGTTTGAGCTCTTAGTCTTCTCTGAGGTCTTTTGAAAGTATATCAGAAATGTACGGTTGTGTCAGTAGGGAAGGTGCAGAAGGCTATTCATGCTGAGATGTCAGTCATGTGGACAAATGGGAGATGGAATGTTTTCTTCATTGGTGATGTCCGAGACTAATACTAAGCGTCTCCTCAACTTCATTCGCTTAGGACTTCTTTTTGTTATTATTATCTCTCTGGCATCATATTTGAAATATGATTAAGATGTTTCCCCACAGCTTCTGAACTGCCACCTAACCTCAAATAAAAAGCTTCTTCGTCATGTTCAGCCTTTCCAAACTTAACCTCGATGCCAAACCTCCCCAAAGGCACACGCGGAGGCACCTCCCTGCACACCCCTGCTCTGTGGTGGTTGTCACGCACACCTTTCCCACCTCTGCCTTGATAATTTGAAATATACTATTTCATTTCCAGGGTGCTTTGTTCTTCATTTGTCAAAACCTGTCAAAGCTTGTGGGAAAATAATTTTACTAGATTTAGGATAAGGTGCTAAAGAACTGCAGACCACTCACTCTGTTGCATTTGCTAATAGAATAGAAGAAAAGGAGACATGAAGGAATACAGCAGGGAAATTGCTGAACCTGAAGTACTGAAGTTTCTTTTCTTTCTTAGTTTTTGAAAGAAAAAAACCCCATCAGAACAGTTAGAGATTTTTTTTTCCCCCTAATAAAATAATCTTTCACTTCTGCTGCCTCTTGATGTGACCAGCTGAATTATAGCTGGAATCTGTTTGTGTTCTTTTCTTCTTGATCTGAGAGAGAACTGAGCCAATAGCATCTTCCTTTCAGGGCACTATGATTATGGCAAACATAGACTCAGCTCTTTTTGACCCTGAATACTGGGAGACCCCTCACCAGTTCAACCCTGGTCATTTCTTGGACAAGGATGGAAATTTTGTGACCCGAGAGGCCTTCTTAGCCTTCTCAGCAGGTAAGTGCACTGATAACTGAACCTGTTTGATTGGGTTAGATTGTGAGTCTGAAGCCGTATTATCTTCATTGCGGAGAATGCTAAAGGGAGTGTAATCCCAAACTGTAGGAGCACATGGTTTTCACAGCCCAGAAAAATGTTTGATTACAAAAATAAGTTGTTCGGTAATTGTATAAACCCTAGATCTTAGGAATTTTGTGAAAATGCAGAGAAAGTAAAAGGAGTAAGGCCCTAGAATTTCCAATAATTTGGGAATTTGAGTCCTCACACTATTGTACTCTGTCATCCTCTGCATATGCCACGTTATACTATTATAATGGCTGTTCTGTGGCAGGCTGCTCTGCTGGAGCTGACTGATTTTGTATAAATAATTCAATATTCATCGGTGCAGAAATTTGAAGCTGGATCAAATACATCCCAGATGGCTACGTCTTTCCTGGGGAGCTTCTGGAGTTGCTCTTTCACCCCACGTGTGAGTTTATAGAAGCTTAAACAAACAAAAGCTCTTGGGGAACATGCCAGGATGGAATCACCTGGTTGTCAGAGCCCCCAGCTGAGATGTGGAAGTGTCAGGCTCAGGTTCCTGGCCCAAACTGGGCAGAAGAGAAATTTAAACATTGGTTTCTCACATCCAAGTTGAATGGCCTGACCACTACACTTCAGGGTCTGTCACTGTGACTGAAAATTATATCCTAAACACATTTAATTGATAAATTTGGAACTTTTTTTTTAACAAGTTGTTTTCACTGAAAACATTATGTAGGAAAATATCTAGTCAGATGTAGAATGTCCTCTGTATTCTGTTTTGTCACTGCTATTAATGAAGAAAAGTCAGCCTGTGCTAAGTGGAAGCTGTGAGGGAACCTGAAGATGCTTTCTTGTCATTCTCATTTGGAATCAAGAGACTGAACTCAATTCATAAAATCGAGGAGTCCTATAGATTAGGAAATAAAGTATGACACTACTGAGAAGCATCTCTGGTATCTTTTTCTATAATCTGGGCAGATCCTGTGAAGAAGGATTGCAGACATCTCAATTGTTCAGTCAGGTCAATCAGAGAGGAGAATGTCAAATTCAGCAAAGCCTTTTGTTCCTCAATGAGGTTGAGTGATACTCTTTTCAAAATCTGGGAAGCAGGCGGTGGTTACAGACCTCTGTGAGGACTGACTGCTCTTTGCCGTCTCCCTCTGCAGGCCATCGTATATGTCTGGGAGAGGTGCTGGCAAGGATGGAACTTTTCATCATCTTCTGCAGCCTGTTGCAGACATTCAAGTTCACTCCACCAGAAGGAGTTAAGGAAGTCAACACAGACATTGTCTTTGGGAGCACAATGAAACCCCATCCATACAAGCTCTGTGCAGTTCTTCGCTAGGCTGCTGGGTATTACAGATTTGAGAAATTGCCACAGGTTTGCTAATGTGCTGATCTTTTGTGCACCTTTTGTGGTTTTCATTTCTAGATCAAATTCAGTGTGAATCTATCCTTGTTGTGTTATACGTCTAAGACGCTGGCCCTGAAAAACACTCTGGTTTCTCAGTGTTGGGAAAATCTCTGTACATTTTTTTCCTGCTGTATTACTAATGAAATAAACATAGAAAATTATTACAGTGTCTGGTCTTACTAGAAACTCAACAGGAATCTCACTGGAGGGAGAAGGAACAATAAAGACGGGTGTTGGGAGGTTTTTCCCTCATTCCCATGCATTCTCAGATCTAGAGTGGGGTAGCCCCATAGGTGGGGAAACAAAGTGGGTGTAAACGGTAACAGACCAGCGGGCTGGCCTGAAAATGGGCTTTTTGTGTATATTGTTGTGGTGCATTTGAGAGGCATTTCTGTGAAAGAGGGAGTCCTCTCACACAGTGGAGTTTGCGATGATAATGGTGTACAGTAGTCTAGATTGGCCATGTCTCTTTATTGATGCCTGAAAGCACAGTTAAGGGGACTGCCTGCAGTCTTGTGAAGCAAAGCTTCGTGCCTGCAAAGGAGGGACAGGACAGGAGAAATTTTTGAGGTGTTTCATAAGAGCTGTGTGAGAATCAAACTTCCTGAAAGCTGTCAGTGAGCACAGGGGCAGTTGCACCCTGCCTTCCAACCACTGAGCTGAGACTTAGCAGAGCTGCCAAGTTAAGCGTGCCTGTAATTAAGGCATGCACATCAGGCAAGAGCTGTGCAAGACGCAGCTGGCAGAAGCAGGAGCAATGCCCAAGCAGGGCTAGCAAAAAGCAAGTGCCAGAAACCACTTGCACTGAGAGGCTGGCCTTGTTACCCAGGAAGATTTAAAAATCAAGGTCAGAGTGAGGGCTACTACTGGATGTAGCAAGCACTCTGTTGCTCTACCAGTTTCCTTCCTTGAGGAAAAGACTTTACAATTGTTATTGCAATTATACTTCCAGGATTAGTTGTCATTGCCTTGTTTATCCACCATGTTAGTGTTTTCTTTCTTTAGTGTAATGCTGTTGGTTAAAAGCGTTTATTTGCTTTTGTAAAGGAGCTCAGTATCACAAGGTTCAGTATTCTCTTCTCAGGCTTCTGGATAGGGGCTCAAATGGATGTTTTTATCAAGACCCCACAGGTTTGAAGCTGGCACATCTGCCTAGCTGCAGCTAGGCAGAGCTTGGCAGGAGAGATGTGAAAGCTTAGCAGGTCAAGCAGGTGAAGCCAAGATGGCTCTCATTCCGTGTCTAGCTCTGTGACACTGCATTGTATCGTGTTGGCGTAGATTCTGTTGGGAGTGGAGGGTGGGTTGTGCACTACTGAAAACTAAGATTCAGTTTTTCTACCAATATAAAGATGGTGTCGCAAAAATGAGTGTAATGAGGCAATTGGGTAGCTGGTGTCTGCTGTGTTGACACCCAAGTCCTGGGCATCTCTGTGAATATGGGATATATGAGAGACTGAATGAGAGGTAAGGCTTACGAAGAGGCACGGAGGATCCATATTGCTTTAAAACTTTTTTCACTTATATTCTTTTAAAAAAACTCAATCAATGGAGATACGAGTCCTTTTACAAATTTTTACAAAGGAATTGTATATCCATTGTGAAAGTTTTAAAAGAAACTAGAATTGAAAAAAGGTTTTTATATGTTGCTGAATAGCAGTTATGAATCTGCATTTCTTAATCATCTTTCACCACAGCTTAGAGGTTGTCTGGACCCATTGGAGCCTGGATGCCACAAGTGAAAGCTGCTGGTCTGGATTGCATTACTTCTGCTGTTGGTAGCTTGACATTGGGATTTCATTTTCCAAATGGGAAGGTAAAACCTGTGGTAGGCAAAAGGAAATGTGGTAGATAAAGCAAGAAACTAGCTAGCACTGCAAGAGTTTTCACTCAGAAATAATCTGGTCCATTTAACTCTGTGTTTTTAAATAGACCTGCAAGTCTTGAGCTGTTTGAGACTTCTGTTCTGTAGTCTTAGTGGGACAAACTTACAAACTTCAGTAAGAAATATTTTGTGCTCATCTCTTTGATTGCCTGTCACACTGTGCTGTGTCTCTCTCATTCCTCATTTCTGTCCCAAGCAGTACTGAGCTTTTGTACTGTCATAACCATGCCCAATGTTTTAAAAACTAATATTCAGACCTGCGATTCACAAACTGATGTCCATGTAGTTAGTACTACTGCTAAGTTTCTGCCAACAGGATGGTCCTGCACCTCTGAAAGGCATAAACTGTCAAACCTCTGGTAGCGTGATCCTGTCCACAGAAGGGATTTCATCAGTGCAGCAACGTCAGCATGGAGACAAAGGAGTTTCACATCTCAAACCAACAGAGCTAAGTCAGCAAAATTTTAAGCACCGGCTTGACCTGTGCAAATTGGTGTTCAAACGTTTCATTGTGCTAGGAGTTACCACATGTAAACAATCTTAACTTTATTAAAGTACAATGTGAAAAGTACTGAATGGCTTTCATAATGTCTAATCCGAGTGTTTAAGAAAGTCTTATAATTAACTTTAAGCTGGTCAAGAAAGGAATTTAAGTTTTCATGTGCAGTCCACTGACCCACCCTGGTATTGTTGATAACACTGTGTTCTTTAATAATGATTAGTTTGTGATTTAAATATTGCCTATATTATTACAATATTAGTATGATAATTATTAATTTGCCAATTTAAATGTCTTGATTTTGTTTGTATATAAAGCCAAATGCAGGGCAGATGGACAGTATGTATTGGTACCATTACTGATAAGTTTGCATGAACAGGGATTGTAATTTTAGTTTCACAGCTGGATTTTTATTTTTAAAAAAATTAATGGTGAGAGTCTTTGCATGAAAGGCCAAATTTATCAGAAACATAAATGTGAGCATGTTCTTAAGCTAATTAGCTAGTATGCAATGCAATATAGCAAGACCTGTATGTAAGTGAAGACTTAATTCATACTTTTTGGTCTTTGGCTGTCAGACACCTGCATCCTCTCTTTCCCACCCCCAGCTGTTATCTGTTAAACAACAAATTGCCATTTGCTGGGAAATATATTGAGGCCAAAGTTGGGGATTCATGGAGCTAGATGAAGAGATAAGGCCCATTTTTGTTTGTCTCTTGCAGTGCCTTTCCTGCATTTTCTATTCCTTTTAGTTCTTCCTCCTTCTCTCCATACTTAGGTGTTAGAAAATTTGTTGGGAGTTGGATAAAACAATTCTTAGAAATATCAAACTCAAATACACTGAGGAGAAGATCTAGAAACATATGAGAAGAAAACTATGTATTAAACAGTCTTCGTTGTGACAGTAAATTCTACCAAGTAAGTTTCAAGGAATAAAGCAATTAGATGTAGTCTTTTGTAGAGTTGGTGAAAAAGAAAAAAACAAACACCTTGAAATACTGAAAGGCCTAAATCTTTCTCTAGGAGGAGAACGAAGATAAACTGATGCAGGAAGGGTTTAAAGGTATTTAAATTGATGGCGATCATCTATTAACTGGAAACAGAATTAGAAACGCCATTTAAGTTACGTTGCTTTAAAGTAACCTACCTCAGTGTCAGAGCAGTCTACTTTGAAGAATTCAAGTATGGCAAAACACCTCAGTACCTCAAAACATGATTCCTTATGTTCTCAAATGGGCACCTGAAGTTAATGCATATTTGTGACAGTAATTGTTTATACCTCATTTTCTCATCTTTCCTTTTCTTTGTGTGTGCTGTGTGGCAGCCCTGTTTGTCTGTTGTTTCTGCTCTTCGTAGTAAGGCTGCAGCTCATGGCTGTCTCACGCCTTGGAGCTCCTGACAGCGCTTGCCTCCCCTGGGCTGTGAGAGCACAGTCTCCTCCAGAGGACTGATCTGTGGACAATTCATGGAGGTTGATCTTCTCAAGACTGGCACCAAGATGAGGTGAGCCATCAGTGTTGTATAAAATTAAAGTCTGCACCTAATCCAGTAAAACCTTTTTTGCTCATTTCCCATCATGGCCAGGCTCAGCACCCCCTGTGTGCCAAGGAGTGTGCTTCCAGCCTGGGAAATTGTACTGCTTTTCTGGGCATAACTTCAGGGGGAGGCACGTGAGGGTCCTGGTGAGGTGAAGACACTGGTCTCATGTCTGTGGAGGGATTGTGAATGCAGCTGCTCTCACTGCTTGTTAGAAGCACAACTTGAAGCTCAGTGTCTGAGTCGCAGTGATGCTCTTCCTCTCTCCCCTCTCTGGCAAGATGCCTGCCCTCACTCAGAAAATGGGGGAGAGTAGAGGAGCATGTCCCATTTCTGTGACTTCCCCATGCCATGCATGTCCTACTGCCGGACACAAAGACCCTGCTTGGCACCCAGTAGATACTTCAGGTTCATAGGAAAGGTGCTGGCTGCAGGACCCTTTCTGTCTCCAGTTTTGGTGGGCAGCTTGCAGAGAAGGCAGCTCCTATGGAGTGTTTCTTTTTCCTTCTAGAGCCCCCATGCTGTGCTCCAAGCAGTCAGTGGTGAGCTGTTGCAAGAGGAGTGAAGAGGAGGAGGGAGAAGGCTGGTCTGATCCTGGGAAGGGACCTCTGGTCTCACCAAGGACTGCAGCAAATCTGGGGTACTGGAGATCGTCTCCCTAAAAGTTATGGGAGGTGTTGGCCCTCTTCAAGAGTCAAGTTTTGTTTGCATGCTTCTGCTGCCCTATTTCTCTTTAGCTGTTGATCCCTCTCAGATGGTATCTAAAAAGATGCACTTTCCTTGCATCACTTCTCAGGGTAGGGTGGCAGGTAGGTGAGATAGGGAACCTGTCCTGAAACCCTGTTATTAGAGGGTGAGCTGCCTCTCTGAACAGCTGCCTCTAGTACTTACCTGGTGGCCACACTAACAGCTGTGTGCTTTGTGGGTGGGAGGTGGAGATTATTCCTGAAACTGAATTTGGGGCATGGAAAATAAGTAAGACAAACTGCCATGTGCTGGTAGGGCGCAGACCAC